AAGGGCAGCGAGCCGGGGAGCAGGCCAGCCCCGTATAGGCACGAGCGCACCGACTCCAACGTGTCATAGATGCTGGGGTCCTTCACCACGAGGCCTGCCAGGGCCAAAGACAGGAGGGAGGGCCGTCAGAGGGCACGGCTGGTGGGAGGGGGGGGGGGCACAGCAACTTCCTATTAACCATCTATGTGGCCCTGGGCAAGTCCCAACCCCGAGTCCCACGTGCCTGTCTGTAAAATGAATGATACACTCAAATCCTTACGCGGACCTCTTATGTACGCCACGGAAGAGATTTAAAAACCGGCTCTTCGAGCCTGGGTGTTCCCATCTGTAAAATGGAGAGACTAATACAGCGGGGCCTCGACTTACAAGTTTAATCGTTCTGAGGCCGAGCTCGTTAACTCAAATTACTCTATCAACTCAATGCAAAAAATCCGCGGAGAGACAGCTGGTATCTCAAAAAACTCGTTAGTCAGGACACTCGTAAGTCAAGGCCCACTATACTTACCTTCTGAGGACTATTGGGAATAAACTAGCAATGTGTGTGCATCAGCCCAGGGCGGTATTGTACCCAAAGTAGTAGCTCAACAAACCTTTCTTCACTTTGGAGGGGGAAGTAACCCACTGACCAGTTCTGAGGGGGAAGCCTGGCCGAGAGTGTGAGGGTATCACAGACTGCCCTTCACAGCGCAGTGTACTCACCATGCACCAGCCGCTGCTCCTGCACCATGAGGGACCTGTATTCTCCCCACTTCTCATACAGGGTTTGCTGCAAGACACACCATCACCTCCCTGTCAGGAGCCAGCCAGAAACTAGCCAGAGCGGGGTACAGACTGAGCGATCGGGGAGTGCACAGAGGAAACCTTGCGGTTAAACGGAGGTTCAGATAAATGACCCCCGAAAAAGAGCGGGGCCTGCAGGGGCAGGGGCCTGGGAAGAGGACGGTGGGAGCTGGACATGATCTGGGCTGCTTTACCTTCAGGTACTGCAGGCGAGCCTCCAGTTCCGCCTTCCGGATCGAAGTTCCATACAGAGTTTCCAGCCTGAGGAGGTTGGGGAACCCAAGGCCGAGTGAGCGCCCGGGGTGCAGAAACACCAAGACAGGCTGAGCTCAGGACTCACGGGGACCCTGGCGCCCGGACATACCTGAGCACGTTGCCAGAGGCCTTAATGATGTCAACAATCTCTCGATGACGGATACCTTCCACGTTCAGGCCGTTGACACTGGCGATGGTGTCCCCTGCCAGGAAGAGAGGGGTCAGCATCTGCTCGATGGGGGAAATCCCAGCCAGAAAGGACAGGGGTAGTAACCCCACCGAATAACCCTGAACTCCCCTTCCACTTCCCCATGGTTGTGGGAAGAACTTGTCCAGGCCCAGACCCCGGCCTAGGGGTCAGGCCCTCTTCAACCCACCCCCACACTCCACCCTCGGGAAGCTCTGACCCCAAAGGCTGAGCCCTCCCAGCAACTTTGGGCTGCCCCCAGCGATGGTTATTTCAGTCTAGCCCAAAGGCTGCCATGAGTCCCAGACAGACAGGAGGGGGGCAGGGTGAGTAGCACCAAGCTAAGAACTGACACTGGCCCTGGGCGTGAGTGCTTCTAATACCCTGTACCATTGCATAGCCTCCTGACCTCAGGCAGGGCAAACCACCATCTCTGAGAGTTCACTTCCCAGCTGCACAAAAAGGGCATGATCCCAGCTGTGCTGCCGTGGGGATCAGGAAGGAGAGTGGGTGTGAAACTGTTTTGCAAAGTTGCAATACACCACTTGGCTATGAGGGGCTGCTGGTAAGTGGGCAAGCAGGTGAGGGCTTAGGGAAGAAAATGGTAATAGAATTGGGAGGGGTCCGTTTTTGCAGATTCATGCTGCTCCTTCCTGGGACTTGGGACTCTAGATTTGGCCAATCCCTAGGATCTCTGACTGGAGGCATCATTTCCTTGTTAGAGGAGGTAACACAGGTACCCCAGAGTTGGGCCAGGTCAGGGGCAGGATAGGCCCTGATCCCTAATATCAGGCAGATCTAAGGGAATGTTGCCCCTTCCCCAGCTCCTGCAGGTGCTGGGTTGCCAGATTGCCAGGAGGAGGCAGAGCAGCAACAGCATCATCAGGCATTTACCAGGCCCTGGCTCTGTGTTCGGGGAGCCCCCTTGCCACACTGTAATGTGAGGACATGTTATTGCCCCCATCTATTGATAAGACGGCTACTAGCTCACACAGTAAATGGCAAATGTGCCTGGGTCCAAAGCCCGGAATCTACCCATTCTTCTTTCTGGCCTTCCTAAAATAGGACAAGGAAGGGGAATTGATTTTAGAAGAGATTTCTTGCCCCCTCTGCTTGGGAGTAAGGCTATGCCCCTTCCCAGAGCCCTGTGTCTTGAGCTCAGGCCCCACCTGGTGTGAGCCCAGCCAGCTGGGCGGGGCTTGACTCATGAACCCGGCAGACAAAAGTCACCATCTCCACACGCTGCTCCTCCCGGTGGTGAAGGCCGTATGTCTGTAATAGACAAGGGGACCCTGAGTCCTGGGATGGGGCAGGGTCCATCCATTCCTCAGACTGGCCTCCCAGCCCCTCACTTGCTCGGCATCCAGCTTCTCCCACCTGGATCTCAAAGCCGAATGTCTGGTTTTCCTCCTTCTTCAAAGTCAGCACTTTCCTGCAGGAGACACAAGGGCCATCTCATCAAGACTGTCAGCATTTAAAGGAGCTTGGCAGTCCCATGGCGTGGCCTGCCACTGACGCTGGAGTCAGCCCTAGAACATCCTGTCAGGGCTCACTGTCTCCAGTGACACCTCACTCTCATCACAGGTTGCTGGAATGGCCTTCCCATGTCCAGCTGAAATCAGCTTCGTCCAGCTGCCCAGAGTCAATCCAGCCTCCGGCGGGGGAGGCACTGGGAATGTCCAGGCCCCAGAGCCAGTGGACTAGCTGGACTTCGCAGTCAGTTCCTCCTTCCTATGAGCCCCAGAGAGCCACTTACTGAGTTAGTGGAGGCTCTAAATTCAGCCCCAGCCTGGAGCCTCCTCCGATCCACAGCCTTGGGAAGAGGGCTGGCCCTGCCCCCCAGAGGCCAGTCACGAGGCTGAGCCCAGACCACAGCTGCTCCTCCCAGCGTCGGTGGGGCCAGCCCACCAGATGTGAGGGCTGGGGGGGAGGGGAGCCTCAAGGCCGCCCCTTCCCGCACTGAAGGCCTGCCCACTGGACACAATGGTCTGGAGCCGCTCCAGATCCTCGCCTGCTGGGGGAGCCTAGAGTTTCCTCTGCCCACTCCACCCCCTTCCTTCCCTCCCAGCCAGAGGCAGAGTTAAAGCAGCTGCCAAAGGCCCCTCCGCGGCTCCTCGCCTCAGAAAGGCCCTGGAGACCCAGGTCCCCAGCTCTCAGCCTGACCCAGATACTCCCCAAATGCTGAGTGGTGATTCCCAGCCCCAGCCTGAGCGCCTCCCCACTTTGAGCCCTCTGAGTGAGCTGGGGAAGGGAGCGGGGTGACTGGGAAGTCTGTGTTTATCCCAGCGCTCTCTGGTTTTCTGGAAGGGTTGGCAAACTTTTTCTGCAAAGGGTCAGATAGTAAATATTTTAGGCTTTCTTTTCGGAGTTCATTCAGCCTCTCATATATGGTTCTTTGTTTTTATTTTAACAACCCTTTAGACATATAAAAACAACTCTTAGCTCAGGCACCAAACAGGCCAATCTGGCCAGCTGATCCGTTTTAGAAAAAGCCAGGCCCAAATCAGGATGGGACCGGGCTGAGTGGGGCCTGAATCAGCATTCATGTCTGCCCTCCCTCAGATCCTTCCTAACAGGACTGCCCCAGGAAGGGACTGAGGTTCTGGAAGCCGGGGCAGCAAGACTGAAGCAGCTGGACACAGCTTGGCCACGGTCTGGGCCCTCTGGATTTGTTGGGGCTGGGAGGGCTCAGGACCCTGAAAACTTCTCTTAACTTCCTCACCTCCCAGGTCCAGGTCTCCCAGGGAGGGGAAATTTGCAGGGACGGGGGTGGGTTGAGGAGCATCTGATGACTCAAAAGTAGGGACTCTTTCTCTGCCACCCCCTTCACACAGCCCACACCCACACCTGCCCCTTACTTCAAGCGAGGGAGCCACGCTGAAAGGGTGGGAGGATGACTGCCCCTGGCTGGGCTGAGATACTGTCAGGCTACCCCCCACCTCACCCAGGTACCTTCCCCGCTTTGAACCAGGGCAGGGGCTGGGGTGGTGGCTACTTACCGCTGCTGTTCGGGACTCTGGTTGAGATTCTTCCAGCGGAATCCTGAACCCTGGGCAGGAAGATAGAGAATCAGGAAGGAGCAGGTGAGAACAGGGCTGTCCTTGAGCAGATGCTGAGAGCCTTGCTCTGGGAGGTCCCAGCCCTGGCCCCAGCACTCCCTGTAGTCTGGTCCCAGTCGCACACCTGCTTTGGCGCTGGTGTAACTACTTGCCAAGGCCACTATCAGTGTCACCCATGGCATTCTCCCCATAACTGGGACTGCAGAGTCACACAGTCCTCCTGGGTGCCAGATACACGAACCTCTACGCCCACACTGGGGGTGGGCGTTTCATTCATCTCGGCAGAATCGTCTCCACCCCGGGGTGCATGTCTGCAAGGGCTCAGGCCTCCCAGACTCCTGTCAAGGCACTCTGAGACCTCCTGCTAGGCAGGTCTCTCCTAATCTCTCAGCCGCAGACAGTGGCTGGGGAGCTGGGCGCTGGGCCCAGGTCTGGCGGGCGGGCCATCCCAGCCCAACTGTGGGAAGGAGGGGACAGCCCATCGCCTCCTCCAAAGTACGGGGTGTTTCAGGGACCAGCTCAGCCTGGACATTTGATGCTTTCCGGGACAAGAACAAGCAAACAAACAAAAATCTTAGCCCTCAAATGTATCCTTAAGTCTCACCATTCTTAGGAGAGAGACTGGGAGTTCTTTTTATTTTGCTTTTTTTGGGGGGGGGGAATGAAAGAGCTGAGGGTTCCTGCCTCTTTAGGGCCCGTGAGAAACGAAAGCACTCTCTCTCTCTCTCTCTCTCTCTCTCTCTCTCTCTCTCTCTCTCTCTCCTCTCTCCCCCAACCCCCTAAATATTGATCCTTGGAAGAAGCCCTGTCCCAGACCAGCCATTGTCCCATGAGCCCCAAAGAGCCTAGGGCCTCCCTGGTTGGTGCCGTGGTTAACTCTCCTCACAGGCCTCCCCTAGGCTAGGAAGATAAGGGGACCCTCTTTCTCCAGAACCAGAGATTGGCCTCAGGGGTGGGGACACTTCCCAAATGGCCAGGGAGGAAGGACTGGGCAGCACAGAGAGAGACCCCTTTGTCTTTCCACCCTATTTTCATAAAATGCAAATTCTCAACAAGCTGTTCATTGTGTGGGGGGAGCCAAGGGCCAGGGGAGGAGGAGGGGGCCCGAGCCAGGACAGGCCACCAGCCCCCTCTC